ACCTCTGTGTAAGCGGCCCTCGCTGATAAAGAATAGCTCAAAAAGTAGGCAGCTCAAGTGGTTAAGACGCTGAACTGCAGGCTGTGGAAGGTCGGTAGTTCAGCAGTTCAGCAGTTCGAGACCCGAGTGTGCCGCATGACGGAGTGAGCTCCCGTCTCTAGTTCCAGCTCCTGCCAACCTAGCAGTTCGAAAGCAAGAAATTGCAAGTAGATAAATAGGTACCACTTCGGTGGGAAAGTAACAGCGTTCCGTGCGCCTTGGTGTTTAGTCATGCTGGCCACATGACCATGGAAACGTCTTCGGACAGCGCTGGCTCTTCGGCTTTGAAACGGAGATAAGCACCGCAACCCTAGAGTCGGACTCAACTGGCTTTCGAGCAAGGGAACCTTTACCTTTACCTAAATATACAGCAACAGATTACATTTCTGTGTAGTCCTCCTTTTATCATAGAACCTGGCAGAATAAAGGGATCCCAGGAAGTCTCCCAAGTAGGGCGGTCAATTCCAGGTTGAGAAATTCTTGGAGATTTAGGGGTGGAGCCGGGGGAGGGCAGGGTTTGGGAAGGGACTTCAGTGGGCTATAATGCTACTGAGTCCACCTTCCAAAGCAGCCATTTTCTCCAGGGGAAGTGATCTCTGTTGTCTAGAAAGCAGCTGTAATAGGGGAGATCTCCAGGTCCCACCTGGAGGTTGGTAACCCTGCTACCAAGCAGGCAGTGACCACCCCCCCCCCAGACCAATGCCTGCTTAGCTGTACCATGTCCCTTCCACCCTCCCTTGGTGGTAAGATCATGTCTGACAAAAGAAGCAAAACTTTATTTATTTAATAGTAATTCAAAACACGCACAAGAAACTTGGCTTATTCCATCCTGGAATATTTCACACACAGGATGGAAGTCCCATCTGGTACCACCCTTGCACCCAGCAGGTGTTATTGCGATGCATTCCAGGCTGGTGCCAAAAAACCCAGACAGGGCCCAACTAGTCTGACACAGAAGACGAGCAAGATGTCTCACGACTGAAAACAAAACTCCCAACTTTTAACGTTGCCATGACAGGGTCCAAATTTTACTAGAGCAGCGGCAGCTGGGAGGGAATTGTTACCCTTTTCTCACAGGCCATTTGTCCATTTATTGCTAGCAATTCTGTAATTTTACCCAAAGAGCCGTTTCAACGAAAGGGTGAGGTTAATTCCCAATATCTAACAGTCACCTTGCCCAGATTATTTTCCCCCAACAGCTGAGGAGATACATGGACACTGTGTGATACAGAGTGTTGGACTGGATGGGCCTTTGGCCTGATCCAACATTGGCATCTCTTATGTTCTTATGTAAAATGACTAGATTTGTTCTCAATAAGAAGGACTATACATCCTCTGCATTTGAGTGTATTTTTCAGAATATTATATTAGAATACTGAATGCAATGCTAGGAATAGTCGGTGTTTTGCTGACTTAACACTGCATCCACCTCTAAAAAGAAAAAAAATGCGGTAAAGTGCCCTCCATGCCTGAGAGATTGGAGATTCTCAGTTTACTTCCCAGAATTAGAAAAGATACCTTTAGAAATGTATCTGCTATTTTGACATATTTATTGCTTTACAACTTTTGACCTTGTAACCTTAGGTTGTAATTTGGTTTTGTCTTTGCATATCTTGGGCCCCGGTCACACAGGCCGGATATCGCAGGGGGGAGGTGTCGCTAATTGCCCCGGCGCAGTTTGATGCACGATTACGTGATCAGATGCGCCAGTGGCACACCACTAGTCCTTCCCTCGGCGCCGGCGGGTAAACGAGGGACCAGAATGCCGCGCTCCGGCGCGATCACACCACGGATGTCTGGAGGCAGCCCGTGGCAAACGTTTATTAGTACCTTGGAGGTTTTTTAAGGCGCATTGTTGGCGGTAAGGCACGGGTGTGCTCCACTTCCCAGATGTTGGGGTATGATTGCGCCCAGATAATCCGCCCATCATCCGTACCTCTCCCGTGGCAACTTTGCCGTGTGACCGGGGCCTTGAAACATCTTCATAATGTTACATGTTAATTTGCTGTTCAGCCCCTGTCTATAAGTTTGGACCTTACCTACCGTTCTACTGTATTTGAAGAAGTGTGCCTTGCACACGAGAGCTCATACCTTGAATAAACCTTTGTTGGTCTTAAAGGTGCCCCACTGGGCTCTCAATTGGTTCTAGATTTTAACAAGCACCTGCTGTTCTTTTAATGGAAATGCAACGGCAAACAGCATGAGGAACACAGATTTTGCATTCACACATTTCAAATGTGGGCCATGTTTAAATATATAAAATAACCGCAGCAAAGAGCTCCCAGAACTCTTCAAAATTCATCGATTGAGGCCTTTGTTAAGGCAAGCATGCAGTAATCTCCCGAATTTCCTTCTTTTTCAGCACAAACTATGTGCCTTTCAAATGATACTGAACTGAAATCCAGGTTCCATCTCCTCCTTAATTGCACGACATGGATTTAAGGACTCTGGACTGCAAGGAAAGACACACTTGCAAGAAAAGAACAACACATCATAGTGCAATCCTCAGTTTTTCCACCTTCAATGCCTCCCTTGACGGATACTTCCCCAAACAGAAATATTTTGCAGCTTCTTTTAAGGAGAGATTAATCAAGGATCTCACTCGTGAAGGATAAATATTATAATCCCCCCCCACAAACCCTGAACTAATGTTATAACATGCGTGCAGCTCATGTGAGTTATTGCTTAAATAACCCCCAGCATTATCACTGTTACCCTGGCCTGGACGGCCCAGGCTAGCCTGATCTCATCAGATCTCAGACGCTAAGCAGGGTCAGTCCTGGGTGGTACTTAGACAGGTCAGGTGACCACCAAGGAAGTCCAGGGCAATGTTCCCTCTAAGCTGCGGAGTCTTGTGAGCAAAAGTTCTACTTTGCGAGCTACTGGCATTAAAGTCGTGAGCGAGCGATTAGGCGACTGCATTAAATTACTTTGCTCTGGAGCCGTCCTTCCCGAGCTAAGGCGAAAATGTGTGAGCTGGAGGCTAAAAAACTGTGAGCCGGCTCACACTAGCTCAGCTTAGAGGGAACACTGCAGCGGAGGCAGACTAACACGACTCCCCGTCTTGATCGAAATAAACAAACGATGCAACGATACGGTTGCACACCTCCAGGTGGCACCCGGGAATCTCTCAAAATGACAACTGAACGCCAGACTACCGAGATGTTCCCCTGAAGGAAGTGGAAGCTTTTGAGGCTGGAGTCTATAACCGGCTGAGCTCCCTTCCCCAGGTTCCACCCCCAACAGTGTTCCCTCTAAGCTGAGTTAGTGTGAGCTAGCTCACAGTTTTTTAGCCTCCAGCTCGTACATTTTTGCTTTAGCTCAGGAAGGATGGGGCCCCAGAGCAAACGAATTTATGCAGCAGCCAAATCACCTGCTCACAACTTTAATGCCAGGAGCTCACAAAGTAGAATTTTTGCTCACAGGACTCCACAGCTTAGAGGAAACACTGCCCCCCATCCCCCACACGTCCAGGTATTTCCCAGCCCTGAGCTGGCATGGCAACCCCCATGCAACCACCGGCCAAAACGGCCATCGCGTGATTTCTTCCGCCGTCGTGCGCTGGGACTGAGGAGGCCGCGTCCACTTTCGGTGAAGGCGAGGAATCCACACGACCCCCTCGGCCACCAGCGCCTACCGGAAGTGAGGCATCCGGCGCAGCGCTCTAGGCCGCTCCAACTCTATGGTGAGCCCTCCCCGCCTACATTTTTTTTTTACCCTCAGGAGGAGAAGGAAAAATAAATCAGTTCCATGTTCAGCCGGGCTGACCCGCGGGCTCTCCGCACTCTTTCCGCCTTGACTCCCTTCCCTCCACCCCCGCGGCGGGGTCGGAACCTGCCGTCGGACGGAACGGTCGGCCGCGCCTCCGCGCCGCCCCTCGGACATAGTTCGGAGTCGCACCACACGAAGGGCGGGACCGGAGGGAGGAAGAAAGGAGGAGGGGCTTCCGGTTCCTCTCACCGCGGCCTCTTCTGCAGGGCCGCCTCCTCGCCGCGCTCGTTGTGTGGCCGGAGTCGCGGTGCTTCCGGCCGGCCCGAGAGACGCCGCCATGGCCGCCGCTGTGGTGAGTGTGGGGAGGCGGCCGAGGGGAGGGCCCTCTCTAGCACCCGCGCCCTTTCCCAGCGGAGGCCTTGGCCTATTTTCCGGGAGACCGACGTGTGGAGGGCCGCGGAGCTGACCCGTGGGCCTCTCTCCCTCGGCCCAGGGTCCAGGAGCACCTTAAAAACTGACAGCATTTGGGGCAGGTCGATCCATAAGAACATAAGGGAACATAAGAGACGCCAATGTTGGATCAGGCCAAGGGCCCATCTAGTCCAACACTCTGTGTCACACAGTGGCCAGAAATACCAGGTGCCACCAGGAGGTCCACCAGTGGGGCCAGGATGCTAGAAGCCCTCCCACTGTTGGCCCCCCCCAAGCACCAAGAAGACAGAGCATCCCTTGCCCCAAACATAAGAACATAAGAGAAGCCAATGTTGGATCAGGCCAGCGACCCATCCAGTCCAACACTCTGTCGCACAGTGGCCAGAAATACCAGTGCCATCAGGAGGTCCAGCAGTGGGACCAGGACATTAGAAGCCCTCCCACTGTTGACCCCCCACCCCCAGCACCAAGAAGACAGAGCATATTTTCTTAGCGTAACCTACCTTACAGGGTAGTCGTGAGGTTAAATGGAGGAAAAGAGATGTAAGCTGCTTTGGGGAGAAAGGCTGGATATAAATGCGTTAAATAAACAATGTTGTGTGTCGATGACATTCTGGGATGCTGTGGTTTCACCTGGATATGACATTGATATATTGTGCACTTGTCATTTCTGCTCCCCACTGTTCTCTCTGCCCCAGAAGCAAAGGTGGATGGGAGGGCCCAGTGGCAGGCGAGTGACTCCCTGAAGTTGGCAATTTAAGCAAACAGAGTATGGTACACAGTATATGGATATTACACTACACAAGGATTATTACTGTGATAAGTGCGCTAAACTAAATAATACAGTACTGTAAAAATCAGTAGAAGACAGTAAAAAAATCTTACATACAGATAATTTCCAGTTTTTTGTCTCATCTATAAGAGTATAAAGGAAGCCTGATGCTCACATATTTTTTTCTTCATAGGTTTGCCAATTTATTCTTTTTAGACCTCTGAAGAAAAATATGTGAGCAGCAGGCTTCATTTCTACTCTTATAGATTAGACATTAATTAGGCTATTTGGATTGGAGTATCCTTGAAGAAAAATCTTGTTGTAAATGTTTATTTGTAGATAGAATCTTGTTCAGAAGAAGGAACATGGAAACAACACAGGACATTCCGGAGTCGTTATCATTTGCTTTGTTAAAAACCACTTCTGTTTATTTGAAACTGACTGTATTTTTGTATTCCAACCTTGTAAAAAAAGCATATCTAACTTATTTAAACAGCATATATTTTCTGGTTTTTGCAGTACTGTATTATTTAGTTTAGCGCACTTATCACAGTAATAATCCCTGTGAAATTAGCAAGTGACATGCCTAGTCCCTGAGCATGGTTGGAGGGTGCATTATGTAACAGTGTGGTAGTTGTAGCCCACCTTGAGTCTCCCTGAAGAAGACATACTGTAAGTAAAGTAAATGAAGGAATAGATATTGAGCTAAGACTGAGGAGACCTGGGATTAAATCCGTACTCTGCTGTGTAGTTTACTGAGCTGTGTACGTTAAAGGCATGTGATTAGGGAAAGTGCTCAGTAAGACGATAACAAAGAAGAACTCAAGCGAAGGAATCTCAGATAGCTTTTTCAAGGGCAGGGTGTACGGTCTTGCTTATAACATTTAAAGCCAGCCTTTCCTGTGATTATATTCTCAATGGGCTGTCGTTACCATTGCTAAAATTCTGCACAAAAATCGTAAGCGAAACAGAAGGATCATGCTGTGAAAGGAACCCCCCTGCCCCAGTCCTGTTACTCAAGGTATCAAGTCAAATGAAATAAATAAATAAATAAAGGTCATAAACTTATTTGGTTCATACAGTTACGGGCAGCTTCAAGCTTCAGTTCAATAAAATCAGGAACAAAGCTGATAAGGGGGTCACAAAATGATGATTAATCTTTTATTTTATTTTTGAAAGTTAATTTTTCTTTGCTTGGTTTATTACATCATTTATCTGTAAGAATGCTGAAGGCAACGTATGAGCAAAAGTATTTCAATAATCATGTTGTATTATTATTAATACAATTTGACATGCTTAAATTGCTTTTAAAAGTAAAATGGATTTTTAAATAAACAAGGAAAAGCTATATTAAACACTGATAAATATGAGAAGTCATTTTGGGGGGGTTGTGTATTTTGATTGTACAGGTGTGTGGTCTAACGAAGGCTTCCTCATGTTTCTTTTAATTTACAGCAGCTTTATTTGATTTATCATCGGCATGGCAATAATCCCGTGTCACTTAGCTGTGTGTTTTGCTTGTTTAGGACTTCAAAACGTACGTGGATCAAGCTTGCAAAGCTGCTGAAGAATTTGCAAACATTTACTATGAAACCATGGATAAAAGGCGACGGGTATGTTCCCAATAGCTCTTGTGTCTAGCGAACACGTGAGCAGCAGCATTCACTGCTTTCCTCAAAGTACCTGTCTAAGCTTGTTAGCTGGCTTCTTTTTCTTTTTAGGCCGTGCTGATATAGTTTAGGGTCATTTTGCATAGTGGCAAACACACAAAAAGTAGTCATTTTTTCCCTATCTTTAACAATGCAGTCCTATTTAGAATTATTTATTTATTATTATTAATTAATTTTATTTATTCATTGGGATTTTTACCCCGCCCTCCCCGCAAAGCGAGCTCAGGGCGGCTTATAAGGGGCAAAGCCCATATAAAACAAGGTAAAAGCAATAAAAAGCATTAATACTCCAGTGTAAGCCCTTTAAGATCAGTAGACTGGAGTAAGCCTGAGTAGGATTGCATTTTTGGACAAAATGTACATCCTGCTAGATGTGTCAGGGAGGAAATGCAATAAGCAGCCATGAAACAGTCGGCATCTTGAGCTGATCTACAGATCAGGCAGTGTAACATGGGTTGTTCCTAGATTCCGGTGGATAGCCGTGTTGGTATGAAGCAACAGAACGAAGTTTGAGTCCAGCGGCACCTTTATTGCACTGCCCCAGACAGAGTATTCCATCTGTACCTTGTGGCTAATAGCCACTGATGGACCTCTGCTCTGTATGTTTATCCAGTCCCCTCTTGAAGCTGTGGATGCTTGTAGCCGTTGCCACTTCCTGCGGCAGTGAATTCCACGTGTTAATTACTCTTTGGGTGAAGAAGTACTTTCTTTGATCTGTTCTAAGCCTACTGCTCATTAATTTCATGGAGTGCCCACGAGTTCTTGTATTGTGAGAAAGGGAGAAAAGTATAAGAACGGTTCTGTGCCCAGCCAGTTGAGTCAATCCCTGAACCACTGGCAGGGTTCCTGGGGCTGGTAGCCCGGGAGAAGGTGATGGACTTGGCTTAGGCCTGTCCTCCCTTTCCAGACCCAGGCAGCCATCAGCAGGTGAGACACTGCTGCTGCTGCTGCTGGGGAATGAGCTGCCCCCTGGTGTATCTAGCGGAATAAAGGTCTCCCACCCCCAGTTTGTTTGCCAGCCCACCACCAGCATAGAGACCCAGCAGATTTTTCTGTTCTGCAGCCAGAATGGTCACCTGTGTCTGCTCTAAAGCAATCAGGGGAAAAGCCTGCCTGCACTTTATTTATTTAAAACGTTTAATAGCCGCCTTTTTTTCCTTCTAGAATTCAGTGGGGCTTAGGGTGCGGTTAGAATACATAACATAAAACACATAAAATTTAAAATCAGAGTTTAGGATTCCTAGTAATTTAATCAAACACAGTCTTAAATAAGACAGCCTTCAGCTGCCTTCTCACAACTGAAAGTGAGGGGGGGGGGCTAAGTGGATCTCCCTGGGGAGGTTGACCCACAGTTGTGGGGCTTCCACTAAAAAGGCCCCCTCTCGTGTACCTCTTAAATGCAAAGAGAAGAGACTGGATTTATACCCCACCCTTCACTACCCGAAGGAGTCTCAGAGCAGCTTACAAACTCCTTCCCCTCCCCACAACAGACACCCTGTGAGGTCGGTGGGGCTGAGAGAGCTCTGACACAAACTGCTCTTTTTCAAGGACAGCTGTGCCAAAACGATGGCTTGCCCAAGGTCATACAGCAGGGGCACTTGGAGGAGTGGGGAATCAAACCCGGTTCTCCCAGGTTGGAGTCCGCGCTCTTAACCACTACACCAAACTGGCTCTTTGACTGATGTGTTTCGTGCTCTGCCTCTTGTGTCTCAGGTCTTGACTAGACTCTACATGGACAAAGCAACATTAGTCTGGAATGGGAATGCAGTCTCTGGACAGGAAGCTCTGGCTGACTTTTTTGAAATGCTGCCATCCAGTGAATTTCAGGTGACCTTGTTTGACTGCCAACCTGTTCATGGTAAGAGACCTTATCAATCCAGTATCACAGACCACAAATTAGAGAGGCTGGCTTGATAGCAAATAAAGCAGTGGAACTGTGGGTTTTAAGCCTTCTCTCATGGTGTGAAGTGCAAGCCTTGTTTGAAGGGTCAAGCTAACCTAAAAATAAATATTATCAAAAATCTATTTTTATGGTGTACACAGCAGATCAAAAAAAAGCAGTCTGAGGGTCAGACTTTATAGGATGTCAGCATAAGTTGAAATAAGCTTTAGTCATTTTGCATACAGAGTTGATGATTTCGCATACATAGTTAATGACTATAACAAATTACCAATAGGACCATACCCGTTTCAGCCTCTAGGGCCTTCCTCAGTGGTCACTAATACTATGATAAAAACACACACATCCAGAAGCAAATACATAGAAAAATTGAAGCCAGTTGTTGCTTTCTGAAAATGTACAAAAGGCAGGAGAAATAAATAAATATAAGTAATATATAACTATTGAAAAAAGTTTTTTGAGGAATTCTTCAAGAGATAAAAAAGATTTCTACCTTGTATGCCGTGCAGTCGCTGAAAATTTGTGGAGTCGGCCATGGATAACTTCTCATGGTGACTGCACATGCACAATAAAATCTTCAATGGTATAATATAATCTGTATAAATTATTGTGTGCCTGTGAGCACAGAAAAAACCCCAGCACCTTGCTGCTTTAAATTTCGTTGAGTGCCCGTGTGTACTATTTTGTGTGTCTGAGCTGTTAGCGCCGGCATTTGGATGTTACATTTATGTATGTTTATAGATGTAAGGGGTGACACTAATAGACGATAAATATAAGTATTTTATTATAGTTTGTGACAGTTTGTCTCGGCATCCTACTCTCCCTTTTTGCTAATTATACACTGGGAGTCTTTCCCTTCTTGTCTGCTCTGTTGTTGCTATTATCAGCATTATCGGCTGCCTTACATTTTGCTGGATTAGGAATTTTTAAACTTTGTGAGCAGCTCTGGAGATTTTTGCATGGAAGAGTATTTATATATGTTTATAACAAGGAAGACGCAGTGTGCCCTCTTGCCTCATAAATGCCCTTCAGAGAGTTTAGAAAAGTAAAGTGGGGGACTCCCCTCCGCCAAAGTGCCTTGGCCTTACTAGACAAGAAGGTGGCTCCTCCTCTCCCTGAGTATACTGGAGAGGCAATGCGAGCCGTGCCACCACCCCCTATAGATGGAAAGCCTGAACACCAGGTTGTGACGTCACAGTAATGGCGACGAGGGTAGTCATAACATTCCCTGTGTGGTTATGTGGGGCTAACCTGAGGGCTGCTGTTAAGTGTGAATCACACCCTGTGTAATGATTTCAGTTAATTGGTTGTGTTCCTTTAAATGTTTTGTTGAATATAGCAGAGTTAGAGAGCTGACAGAAAGTTTGGTTGCTGGCACTTGTCAGCCCAAAAAAAGTGGAATAAACAGACAATCAGGGCATTCTGAACAGAGTAAAGAGTGTGAAGAATCTGGAATACTGCAGTGAAAGAATCAAGAGAATATCTTGTTGAGTACGCGAGAAACTGCAAGTTAAAACACTTGTGAAAGTAGCTGGCAACTGCAGAGTTCAGGGACTGTTATGACTACCTTTGACGACGTCACGACCTGGTGTTCAGGCTTTCCGTCTATGGGGGGGGGTGGCCGTGCCCCACGAGAGACTAGTTTCTGTGCTGCCTTCTCTAAAAGGTCAAGAGCTGCAGCAGAGGGATGCTGGTGCAGACAATACCCCAGACGCTTTAATAATGGATTTAAGTTAACCTGTGGGTGGCAGCCTTGGTTTAACTTGGGTGGGGAAGGTATTCAGTACATTTGAGACCCAGGTCTGAGTCCCCACTGCCATGCAAGCTTGCTGGAGTGACTTTGGGCCAGTCACACACACTCTCAGCCTACACTACCTCACGATGTTGTGGGGAGGATAAAATGAAGGAGAGGAGACGAATTTAAGCCACTTTGGGTCCCCGCTGGGGAGAAAGACGGGGAATAAATGAAGTAAGTAAGTATGACAAGGAGTGGCTTTGGATTGTTCCACTGGGTCATGGGAGAGTGGTTCCGGAGGCATTGGTGTAGATCCCATTGGGACCCAGAAGAACGTCTTTCCTACATTTGGGTATTTGCTTCATTCAGACCCCACATTTCTCCGCAGTGGGGCCCTGAAGCAGCTTACCTTGTTCTCCTCTCCATTTTAGCCTCACAACAGCCCTGTGAGGTAGGTCATGCTGAGTGTGTGACCTCATCAGACATTGAGTGGCTGAACTCGGATCACCAAGCATTATTATTATTTTTAATCCTGCCCCTCCTCCAAGGCGGCATGCATGGTTCTCTGTTCCACTTTACCCTCACAGCAACCCTGTGGGGTAGGTTAGGCTAACTGGTTGAAGTTCATCCAGCGAGTTTCATGTCAGAATGGGGGATTTGAGCCTAGCCCTCCTTAGTCCGGTGCTCTACCCACCACCCACTTCTGCATTTAAGAAGAAGAGAAGAAGAGATTGGATTTATACCCCGCCCTTCACTTGGAGTCTCAGAGTGGCTTACAAACTCCTTTCCCTCCCCCTCCCCACAACAGACGCCCTGTGAGGTGGGTGGGGCTGAGAGAACTCTGACACAAGCTGCTCTTTTTCAAGGACAGCTGTGCCAGAGCTTGTGACTGACCCAAGGTCACATCAGCAGGTGCAAGTGGAGGAGTGGGGAATCAAACCCGGTTCTCCCAGATTAGAGTCCGCACACTTCACCACTACACCAAACTGGCTCTCAGTTTAAGCAAGACTTAGTGGTCTGCTCCTGTTATCCTTTATGGTGGAGAGGAATAGCACACTTCTTGATGGGAAATATAAGAACATTCCTTATGCGGAAAGGCTTTGCACCTGCCCACTCAGGGAGATAAAGACTTTAGAACATATGTTCTTTAAATGCCCACACTATGAGGTGGCACATAGAGAGATTATCACCCGACTGATAGGAAAAAAACTCGGGTCTGCCAGAAAAAACTAAACTTGAATTTCTTTTAATTGACAAACACTTCGAGATTACTCATCAAGTAGCCATGTTTTGTAAGGTGATACTTAGGTCACGGAAATTGTTTAGCGGTTAGTTGTAACTTTTATGCTAGTCTCGGATGCATTTTATTTGGAAGCGTTTTATGTTATATTTTTTAAAAAATTATATTAGTTTTTAAATTTTCTGGAATGCATTATCTGTTTTATATATATACAAAATTGTCTCCCCCACCCCCCCATCTTTGAAGAGCAAGCAACCCTGAACCAGACAACCATCCTTGTTGTGACCTGCGGGCTCGTGAAGTTTGATGGCAGCAAGCAGCGGTACTTCAACCAGAACTTCTTGCTCACAGCCCAAACCACAAACAACAATACAGTGTGGAAGATTGCGAGCGACTGCTTCCGCTTTCAAGACTGGCCGAGTTAGTGGGTGTGTGAAGTGGGCGCTGTGGACAACAGGCCCCCGCTTTTGGATTGGTCAAAGACTGGATACAGGATGTTTCTCCCCCCCCTCCTCCCCCCCTCTGCTCTTTCGGAAGTTGTCAGGAATTACTGATTTTGCGACAGAATAAAATAACGTTACTTTAAACCAGGTTTAAAGCCGGGAGCACTTCTGTGCCTTCAAGATACTGTTAAGCTGTGCTGCGGGAGAAACTTTCCCCCAGGGGGGTTTGTATTGCTGTTTGGGGTCCATGGCAGTCATTCCAGAAAATCCTCTTTAGGTGCGGCAGACGTGTCTCTCGCAGTTGTGTATTCTGCACGAGTTGGACACCGCCTCTTCTACAAGTTTTTTGCACAAACTCCACTCCCCTGCTAAGCATCGTCACTCTCAACGTGTATGTATTTGTGAGAAATTAAAAAAAAAATGTCTAGTGCTGTGGCAGAAAAGGTGTGTGTGTGTTTCCTAGCCGAGGGTCTCCAGTTTGCCTTAGAAGCCGAACGCCTGCTTCCTCAAGACGAGCGAAGTAAATTCATCGGGGCAGGACAGGTGGAGAGCAAGCATGTATTTCTAACCACGGTGAGAGGACTCTGAAGGGGCCGGCACAGTTATCCCCGAGCGTCTTGGTATGTACAGCTGCACGCTGACGGGCTATTGTTTATCTTCCATGCCGAGGAAGCAGCTCTTTCTGGCTGCAACCTGACATGACTTGGCAGGGCTTGGCTGACTTTATTCCAGATGGAGACGTTCTTGGACAGCTTTTCTTTTCTGCTTTGTGAGAAGAAAATGAAACAGACCTCGGGGAAGCTGTCCTCTGAAGCTTTGTTGGAAACGTTGTGGGATTGGCTCATCTTCGTGTAATCCGTTCTTCCCACTGCTCTGAAAGGGCTGAAAACTCGAGAGATGTGACAGTGGCGCAGGAGGCGCCATTGGGCTGCCTGCTTCCTGCTGCTAACTCAGCTGCAACGGAACTTCACATCTCCCCGTTTTCTCAGGAGAGACACTTTGGATAGGGGGAGAATAAGACACTCCCCCACTCTATTTCCCCCTCCTTCCCATTGGCTGCTCTCGGTCATGAAACTCTCCATCCCATTTTTTTTTTATGGGGGGGGGGGATGTTTAGTTTCCTCCAAGAGCGGGAAACATGGGAGGAAGAAAACAGTTTTGAAATAAGCGATGTTCAGTCTGCCCAAAAGCTCTGTGCTGCAGACTGCTTAGGTCTCTCTCCAGTCTACCTTCAGAGCAGCAGTGGAAGAAACAGTGAAGGGTAGAAAGGCAGAATTCTTACGCCAGCAGGATCCCAAGGGGGCTGTTGCCAGGCTCATGGGGTGCAGTTTTATCATTTATTTATTAGACTTTTACCCCACCCTCCCGCCTAGGTGGCTCAGGGCGGCTTACATTTGTTTAAAAACCAGTATAACAATTGATATCAAGTCTAAAACAATACAATCAATAAATTATCCAAATACAGCTTATTAAAAATTAAAATTAAGACGTGGCGGCCATCTGTTATGAAGTGCTAGAACAGTCAATGTGGTCTGAGCTATTAAAACGCTTGCCGGAACAGCTCGGTCTTTACCGCTCTACGGAATTGTTGAAGATCCCGCAGAGCTCGAATTTCATTTGGGAGCTGATTCCATTGTACTGGTGCAGCTGGGGAAAACGCCCTAGTTCTTGTCGATGTTAACTTAGCGTCCCTAGGGCCAGGGGGGACCAAGCGATTTTGCGACTCGGATCATCCCATCACGTAAACAGCTGAAGATGGGGGAGGGGTGACAAATGAAGTAGCGACCCCTCTCTTGGCAGAGCCGTGATATCACTCTCGTATTAACTGGGTAGCCTTTTCTGATGAATGGCCCCACGTCTTACGGAGTTCATAACACTGCCTGGCACTGAAACTGCCTTATACTGAATCAGACCCCTTGGTCCATCAAAGTCAGCGTTGTCTACTCAGACTGGAAGCTGCTCTCCAAGGTCTCCAGCAGGGATCTTTCACAGCATCTACTGCTAGATCTTTTAACTGGAGGCGCCGGGGATTGACCCTGGGACCTTCTGCATGCCAAGCAGATGTTCTACCACTGAGCCACAGCCCCCCTGCTTCACCGGAGGATGGAATCTTCTCAGGTGGCTGTACTCCCTCTCAACCACACACCAAGCTGAGGACCGCATTTCAACCCACATTGCTGTTAGCGCGTGTATAGGAACTGGGAAGACCTTGCGCAATAAAGACGTTTTGTGTGTTGGTGGAAGGCATGCCCATCTAGAACATCTACTGCTGCCTCAGGAGTCTGTTGGTCACATGAGCTGGCTGCCTGTCGCTCACACCTGCATGCCCATGTTCATTCCAGACCTTGTTTTCGTGCCCGGTACTCAAGGTAATTGTTTGGCTGGTTCAGACAGGCCCGTGTTCCCTCCAAACACAGCCTGGCAACCTTTTGTTCCCACTGGGTGCTGATCGTGCCGTTTCCCAAAGTGCTGCCATTAACTGGTTCATATCAGGCAGAAGCATCAGCGGCTGCTAGGCAGCCCAGGAGGAGGCGAACGGAGTGCCCTGGATTCCGTCTCTTTCCCGTTAGCTGTCATGCAGCTGCCTCTGCCAACTGACTATCATTTCTTTCCTAGTTCTTTCCAATTATGGTTAAGAATCCTAGTTGGAGACTTCCGTGCAGGGCTACTACTGTCAACTCCCAGGCACCCTCAGACCCCTCCGCTGGCCACCCTCCCGGCAACCTGGCGTGCCGTGTGCCCCTGGAACTTCGTCCCAGTTGCTCCTCTTTACGTGAAGGAAGGAGGAACAGGAAGCCTACCGACTAACCAGGTGCGTGCCTGTCGCAAACACGATGAAATGTGCTCCTGGTGTCCGAACTGAGCCCAGAATCTCTGTGTGGGAAAGAAGCCACGCAAGACACAGGGGTGTGTTCCTTCATTTTATGCTCTGCTTTTATCCTACAGGCACCTGCAGTGCCTCACATAGACAAACACGATGAAGCTCCGTTAAAACCATCGAACCACCAAAAGGAGGGAAGGGCATGCGTTCTAACCCTAGCGGCTCTCCCAGTTTGCTAATCAAATCAGGCCTTTGACGGGGCCATGCAGGGCTACTACTGACAACTCCCAGGCACCCTCAGACTCCTCCGCTGGCCACCCTCCCAGCAACCTGGCGTGCCGTGTGCCCTGTGCCCCTAGAACTTCGTCCCAGTTGCTCCTCTTTACATGAAGGAGGAACAGGAAGCCTACCGACTAACCAGGTGCGTGCCTGTCGCAAACACGATGAAATGTGCTCCTGGTGTCCGAACTGAGCCCAGAATCTCTGTGTGGGAAAGAAGCCACGCAAGACACAGGGGTGTGTTCCTTCATTTTATGCTCTGCTTTTATCCTACAGGCACCTGCAGTGCCTCACACGATGAAGCTCCGTTAAAACCACCGAACCACCAAAAGGAGGGAAGGGCATGCGTTCTAACCCTAGCGGCTCTCCCAGTTTGCTAATCAAATCAGGCCTTTGATGGGGCCAAAAGTACCCAAAGCGTTATATCCGCAGTTCCATACACAAGAAATCCAGAAGCACTCGCAAAAGACATCCCCCAAGAACTGTAAATTTGGTAACTGACACTTTTGTCACGATTCCACCAGCCTGAGCGTTGTGCTCTTACTTTCTTGTCTCCGTCCCATCAAGGATGCCCAGTCCTGGAAGGGACCCCCTAAATAAACATACTGGACTCCCAGGTCAATGTGTGCGGTTTGGCCCAGCTGAGGTCTTCCAGACAGACCTAGGCCCCCCTCTCTCTTAAAAGGGAAGATTAGGAGTAGCCCATAACAATTTGGGCTGCTAAATGTCTGCATGCAAAGAGGTGGATGCAAAAAAAGTGATCTTGTTCTTAGAGGCAGCAGAGTGACCAGCCTGGATCATACTGTTTCCGTTACTGAATTTTTCTTGTTTATCTTTATTTATTTATTAAATTTCTACCCCGCCCTCCCGCCGAAGCGGCTCAGGGCGGCTTACAAACCATTTAAAACCAACGTACAGTTTAAAACCAGCAAATAAAAAACGGACATCTCTATCTAGATAGGTATTCAGTTTGACTTTAAATCAGGACATGTTTAGACTTGTCTCTGCTGTAAACTCCGCTGGGTGAGTCTGTCACCAATTTGCAATTTACTCTGATTATAAATCTATGCTACAGGGACTAGGGACAGAAGCTTTTTGTGTCCTTAAAATGTGGACCTTTGGCAGGGGTGTGTGCACTTAGTGAAGTAGCAGTATGAGCGGTGGGTCTTTTTAGCAGACCCTCATAGCCACAGAGAAGTTAAGGAGGCATCTCTGTGCTCACCTAGATCCATCACAGCTTTGAAGAGTTTGTCCTCCCGGCTGCTTTCACTGTTGCCAGCTCTTGCCCCAGTACGCTTTCCCTTTTTATTTTGTCAGAGTCTGTGCTTAATGTCCGTTTTATATCTTCGAAGACAACAGCTAGATTTTACAGCTACTAATCTGGATTTACTGTTTATTTTGCTAGTTGCTGTTCTGTGAGCCCTTCGGAAGACTTTCAGTCATATAAATACTGTAAGATAAAGGTTCCCTTGCTCGAAAGCCAGTCGAATCCGACTCTAGGGTTGCGGTGCTCATCTCCGTTTCAAAGCCGAAGAGCCAGCACTGTCCGAAGATGTTTTCGTGGTCATGTGGCCGGCATGACTAAACACCAAGGCACACGGAACACTGTTACCTTCCCACCGAAGTGGTACCTATACTGTAGATACCATTAAAATAATGGCATTCAAGCCTACACTACAGAAGGCCCCTTTCTCTCCCCGGCACAAGAGGAAGAGAAGAGACTGGGTTTATATCCCACTCTTTGCTACCTGAAGGAGTCTCAGAGCAGTTTACAATCCCTTTCTCTTCTGCTCCTCACACGACTGTGAGGTAGGTGGGGCTGAGAGAGCTCTGAGAAAACTGCTCATGAGAGAACAGCTCTGAAAGAACTAGTAACTGACCCAAGGTCACGCCAGCAGCTGCATGTGGAGGAGTGGGGAATCAAACCCGGTTCTCCCAGACTGGAGTCCACGCCCTTAACCACTATACCAAACTGGCTCTCTCAAGTGTGGACAGTGCTGAGGTGGGACCTTCCACAAATTGGATTTGGTGGCAGTTAGACAACCCAAGTGTTTCCAGCATCTGAGGGTCAAACCTGGCATGGCGCCATTTGCAGATCACCCCCCCACCTCCGAGTTCTTCAAGCATGGAGGACTAATAACCCTCTCTTGGCCCTTCTCTCTGCGGGGGACTTTTTCTCTTCCTGCCTCAAACAAAACTCATCAATAACAGCACAGAGGAAGTGGCCACATGCTTTGGCAAAGCCGCCACTGAGGCAAGCCTAAAGCCCCATTCCAACTGGACCCCTGCCCCCTCGCCACAACTGACCTTTAAAAGGCCACCAAAAAGATCCAGTCACAAATCTACCAGTGGTGCGTCTTGTTGGATCCTGGGTGGGTGTGCTTCTTAGCGGATCTACTCATTTTGGGTTGTCTTCTATAAATAGCATTTTGCTATCCAAAAACACATCTGGTTGGCCAACAGAACGTGGGAGTCACAGAACAGAATCATAAGAGTTGGAAGGGGCCCTACAGGCCATCTAGTCCATCCCCCTGCTCAATGCAGGATCCGCCTAGACGAGCATCCCTGGCAAGTGTTTGTCCAGCCGCTGCTTGAAGACTGCCAGGGAGGGGGAGAAGAAGAGAAGAGATTGGATTTATACCCCGCCCTTCACTACCCAAAGGAGTCTCAGAGCGGCTTACAAACTCCTTTCCCTCCCCCTCCCCACAACAGACACTCTGTGACCAATGTTCCCTCTAAGCCGTGGAGTCTTGCGAGCAAAAATTCTGCTTTGTGAACTACCGGCATTAAAGTTGTGAGCAGGTGGTTTGGCTGCTGCATAAATCCGTTTGCTCTGGAACCCTCCTTCCTGAGCCAAGGCCAAAAACTGTGAGCCGGAGGCTAAAAAAATGTGAGCTAGCTCACTCTAACTCAGCTTAGAGGGAACATTGTCTGTGATGTAGGTGGGGCTGAGAGAGAAGAAGTGATTGGATTTATACCTCGCCCTTCACTACCCAAAGGTGTCTCAGAGCGGCTTACAAACTCCTTTCCCTTCCCCTCCTCACAACAAGCACCCTGTGAGGTAGGTGGGGCCGAGAGAGCTGACAGAAACGGCTCTTTTTCAAGAACAGCTGTGCCAGAACTACGGCTTGCCCAAGGTCATCCAGCCAGGTGCAAGTGGAGGAGTGGGGAATCAAACCCGGCTCTCCCAGATTAGAGTCCGCGCACTCAACCAGGACACCATACTGGCTCTCACCACATCCCTAAACATTTCCCCCCTACTATCTAGCTGGTGCCTTTCTGCCCATCATCTTGACTGACTCCAGCAGGACTGTTCTGGGGATACTGGCCCTGGAGGGGAGAGAGCCCCTGACTCCTTTGCTCTCACTGGAGTTCATCCAGTGGTTGTGCTGCCTGCCACAAGGCATCTGGGCTCCCCAGCAAAACGGTGCCAGCCCAAGCGCCTTCCCCAGCTCCCGAGTACAGACTGCTGGGGACGAACCCAAGGGCGGCAGAGGAGGGCTGAGCCCAGAAGTCAAGATTGGGAGCGCCTTGAGCCAGATCTTCCCCTTCCTCAACCACGCTTGTGAGGACCAGACAGGCAGCAGCTCCAGAAACAGCTTGGGATCGGCTAACTGGTGGGTTGATCGTTGCAGCCAACACTGCCCTGGATGCCCTTTGGTTTGTTTCCTACTCTAGAACCCCACAGGGTCACCCTATGACGTGACAGGGAGAGGAAAAAAGCCAGGTTGGGAGATCCCCAAGGACCACTGCTTGGCTTATTCCGGGAAAGCAACAGCAAGACGGAAGGCAGATCTGCCCAGACTTCAGGGAGGGGGCACCAGGACTGCTTTCCTGGATGGCGTTTTTCAGCTTGGGGTTTAGGCCCGGCCTCCCCTGGGAGCCACCCAGGGATGCCAGCCTCCAGGTGGGACCTGGGGATCCCCTGGCCTTACAGCTCACCTCCAGACTACAGGTCCCCCTGGAGAAAATGGCTGCTCTGGAGGGGGGGGACTTTGTGGCACTGTACCCAGCTGAGGACCCCATCCCCAATTCTCCAGGAGTCTCCCAACCTTGATCTGGCAAACCTACACCCCCCACCACCATCCTTTCCCAGCGGCGGGGGGGGGTGTTTGGGGGCAGTGTTCCCTCTAAGCTGAGTTAGTGTGAGCTAGCTCACGGTTCTTGAGCCTCTGGCTCACACCTTTTTGCCTCCGCTCAGGAAGGAGGGCTCCAGAGCAAACCAATTGATGCAGCAGCCAAACCACCTGCTCACAACTTGAATGCCAGGAGCTCACACAGTAGAATTTTTGCTCACAAGACTCCGCAGCTTAGAGGGAACATTGGTTGGGGGCCCGGCAACCGTCGGGCCACCACGTGCGCCGCCGCTCCCTCTCCCCTTTGTCTCCGGTGGCTGCAGCGCGGCGAGCCCTCCTCCAGGGGCAAGGGCCGGCGGGCCACCTCCCTCCAGGCCTCCAGCCGGGGACGAACTTCGTTGGGCTGGAAGGAGTCCTGCGTCGGCAGCCGAAGGTCATCAATTTTTCCAAGAAATCTCCCCTTCCCGACTGGGAAGAAAACGCGGAGAGAACCGGACACGGGGAAGTACGTCGAAAGGGCCTCCCGGCAGGAACGCAGATCTGGCGGCGAGAGGCGCGGCGGCGGCGGCTCCGGAGCCCCAAAGGCGCGGGGGTGGAAGGTGGCCGCCGGGTCTCCCCCACGGCGGGTCCAACGGCAAGGCTGCAATCCGTCCGGTGGAGCGGGGCTGCTGCTGCTGCAGCCCCCCGGCCAGGCAGCCGTAGAAGATCATGATGAGCAGGATGTACAAGTAGGCGTCGTCCCCGGCGCGCCTGGCGGCGGCAGGGCTTGTTGGGCCCCCCGTCGGGTCCAGCGCCCAGGAGGAGCCGTTGGGAGGCGCGGGGCCGCCGCCGCGCAGCTCCTGCAGGAGGCGGCCGAGCAGGCGCTGGAGCCGGCGGCTTTCGCTGCAGTTCATCGCCCAGGGCCGCCGCCTGGCCACGCGCCGAGAGCCTGGCAGGGTTTGGAGCGCAGCCTCCGCCGGCCTCTCTGCAGCGCGGGGGGGCGGGGCGGCCTCTCGTCCCACCCCCTCACCCCCCTTGCTGGGTGGCGCCGAGCCGAGCGCCGCTGGACGTGCAGGGGGAGCCGCCTGCAGGGAGGGAAGGGGCTTCGTCGCCTTCTGCGCGCGGAGATTCCGTAGCCGCCGCCTTGGTCCGAAGCAGCGAGACAAAGTGGGAGCCCGGGGGCACCGGCTTGAAGACCCACGAAGTTTCACTCTGGGCCACTGTTCCCTCTAAGCTGAGCTAGGGTGAGCTAGCGCACAGTTCTTGAGCCTCGGGCTCACACATTTTTGTCTTCGCTCAGGAAGGAGGGCTCCAGAGCAGACTAATTCATGCAGTTGCCAAATCGCTCGCTCACAACCTTAATGCCAGTAGCTCACAAAGTAGATTTTTTGCTCACAAGACTCCACAGCTTAGAGGGAGCATTGCTCTGGGCGTAAGCGTTAGTGTGCAGGAACACTTCTTCAGATGCAAATTGAGAGTCCAGTCAGGCACCTTTAAGGCCAACAAAGGTTTATTCGAGGGATGAACTTTGGTGTGCAAGGCGCGCTTTTGCAAATACATTGGAGGTTCTAAACTTTATAGACAGGGATTTCACAGCAAATTAACATGTAACGTGACGATGTTTTAAGTTACGGCAAAGCATAAAACTAAATAACAAGTTACGGCTATAAGGCCAACAGTTGCAAAGCAATAAATATGGCCAGGGTTCTTTTTGTAGAAAAAGCCCAGCAGGAACTCATTAGCATAATAGGCCACACCCAACAGCAGGAACTCATTAGCATATTAGTTTTTTGCTCACAAGACTCCACAGCTTAGAGGGAGCATTGCTCTGGGCGTAAGCGTTAGTGTGCAGGAACACTTCTTCAGATGCAAATTGAGAGTCCAGTCAGGCACCTTTAAGGCCAACAAAGGTTTATTCGAGGGATGAACTTTGGTGTGCAAGGCGCGCTTTTGCAAATACATTGGAGGTTCTAAACTTTATAGACAGGGATTTCACAGCAAATTAACATGTAACATGACGGCAAAGCGTAAAACTAAATGACAAGTTACGGTTATAAGGCCAACAGTTGTAAAGCAATAAATATGTCACAATAGCAGATGAATGGGTAAAGGTGTTTTTCTAATTGTGGAAAGTTAACAGAATCTTAAATATCTGCTCTGAGCCGTATTGGGCTGTGGGGGGCACTTTGAGCTGAATGTAGTGCTGTCTGCAGAGATGCATTCAGTATTCTAATATACTATTCTACGCTCGATGTAGAGGTGGTAGGGGTCGTGCTTGGACTCCAGCTTCTTGGAGCGCGTGTAGGCCACGATGAGCCCCCCGGCCAGGCAGCCGTAGAAGATCATGATGAGCAGGATGTACAAGTAGGCGTCGTCCCCGGCGCGCCTGGCGGCGGCAGGGCTTGTTGGGCCCCCCGTCGGGTCCAGCGCCCAGGAGGAGCCGTTGGGAGGCGCGGGGCCGCCGCCGCCGCGCAGCTCCTGCAGGAGGCCGAGCAGGCGCTGGAGCCGGCGGCTTTCGCTGCAGTTCATCGCCCAGGGCCGCCGCCTGGCCACGCGCCGAGAGCCTGGCAGGAAAAAAAATTCCCTCTAAGCTGAGCTAGGGTGAGCTAGCGCACAGTTCTTGAGCCTCGGGCTCACACATTTTTGTCTTCGCTCAGGAAGGAGGGCTCCAGAGCAGACTAATTCATGCAGTTGCCAAATCGCTCGCTCACAACCTTAATGCCAGTAGCTCACAAAGTAGATTTTTTGCTCACAAGACTCCACAGCTTAGAGGGAGCATTGCTCTGGGCGTAAGCGTTAGTGTGCAGGAACACTTCTTCAGATGCAAATTGAGAGTCCAGTCAGGCACCTTTAAGGCCAACAAAGGTTTATTCGAGGGATGAACTTTGGTGTGCAAGGCGCGCTTTTGCAAATACATTGGAGGTTCTAAACTTTATAGACAGGGATTTCACAGCAAATTAACATGTAACATGACGGCAAAGCGTAAAACTAAATGACAAGTTACGGTTATAAGGCCAACAGTTGTAAAGCAATAAATATGTCACAATAGCAGATGAATGGGTAAAGGTGTTTTTCTAATTGTGGAAAGTTAACAGAATCTTAAATATCTGCTCTGAGCCGTATTGGGCTGTGGGGGGCACTTTGAGCTGAATGTAGTGCTGTCTGCAGAGATGCATTCAGTATTCTAATATACTATTCTGAAAAAGAAATACACTAAAATATAGAGGATTTATAGTTCTTGTTGAGAATACTTTGCTCAGTCGCTCACAAAGTAGAATGTTTGCTCACAAGACCCCAGGGCTTAGAGGGAACATTGGCTGAGAGTAGGTGACCAGGCCAGGGTCACCCAATGACCGTACATGGCAGAGTGGGGGATCAGACCATAGGTTTCCCAGCTCCCATTCTGACAGTCTAACCACGTCGACTACGGTCCGCCTGCAAAAGAGACCACAGCGACCGAGAGCAATAGTCTTCAGCCGACATTTGTGTCCACCTGGCTTGCTCTTTAAAAGTCAGTTTTCCTTTTGGATACACTCAGAATGAAATATAAAGAGTTCGGCTCTGGCACATGTGACATCTGGGGAGATCTGCTCTCCATCAGCCCGCTAGAGTTCCGCGATGTGTACAGAGCGGCTTGGAATGACCAAAAAAGGCTCAGGGAACAGGATTATTCTCAGGCCTGCTCCATTCTCCCTACAGGTTCATCATCGTCCTGTCCAGAAGCCTCTGGGTTCTTACCTGCGGCCAATGTGAATGCCTTGGCCCCTAGCTGTACTAGGTCCTTTGAGGGCTTCATGTGGTTCTTCAGGGTATCCCTGAGGAGCCGGTGAGCTTGCATACTATCCCTGGTTTTTTCTATGAACTTGTAGCCGTTGCCAACTCCTTTTGCCATATAAGAACACTGTCAAAAAACAGGGTACACGTGTACCGCCTGGTGTGCCAGTTTCACCTCCTGGGACCACCATAACCTTTTTGAACACTCTTGCAGCTGATGAGGGTCTACAGTGGAGGGACCTGTATTGTAAGGGGTGCCCCTGATGTTAGACTGGAGAAAAAAAGCTGTCTGGGAGCCATGTGGCCCAGGATATGAAGCTAAACCTCCCCGAGGTCCATAGAGGCCAGTACTTGTAGGATGGGCCGTAAGGACTCTCTTCGGCCTTTTGTTTCTTTACCCATTTCATGGGGCTTCCTGTTTTAAGCACTGCCCTCCATCTGGCTTGTTGGCTCGGCCCAGGGACTGGAGGAAAGAATCAGAAGTCCACTTAAACCTAAATGGCACCCAAGACGTTCAAATAACAAATATTTTGTTAGACACAGGGGAGAAGCAAAGTCAGGTGTAATTTCTGAGGTAAAACTTGCATTATGTACCGACTTTTGATCTTAATTCTCAGGTTTATGAATGTTCCGTCATATATCCCCAGTTCCTTAGATCGGTATATTGAGTGGTTTTTGTTCCAGTGTTCCCCCCAAAAAACACCTCAGTTAACTTTCTTGGGAAATCACTAACTCTGTTGTTCTTGGAAGACTAGTATGTTCTTTCTAGTATCCAAGCCCCTTCTCTTCTTGACCAGTGTTCCCTCTAAGCTGAGTTAGTGTGAGCCAGCTCACTGTTTTTTAGCCTCCGTCTCACACATTTTTGTCTTAGCTCAGGAGGGATGGCTGCAGAGCAGACTAATTTATACAGTAGCCAAATCACTTGCTCACAACTTTAATGCCAGTAACTCAGAAAGTAGAATTTTTGCTCACAAGACTCCACAGCTTAGAGGGAACATTGTTCTTGACACGCTGGTTCTTGTCTTGAGGTTTCAACTCGCTCTTTAATTATCTAAAGGCAGTTCCTAACCATCCCCGGCCAGGGATCTCTCTACTCCTTGGAGCTTATTTCCCCGCTTAACTGGTTAAGTGGTTGTCTTTTCTCTTTAGAAGAATTGTCGCTTTTCCTAGCCTGAATGGAAGTCTCCTTTCCCTTCCCAACCTCTTAGTCAACTTTTTCCAGTCTCCTGACTGTGGGAAGGATTCTCAGTTAAACTGAAAAACTTGTCAGGGCAGAAGGGCACCTTTAACCACTTATAGGATAGGCCGCTCCTGCTGTCTGGGAATGCCACAGAATCCTGCTGTGCGTGCCTCTCCTAGGACCAATATTAAGGGTTTGCAAACCTAGTTCCCAATATGTCCTGTTCCAGATTCAGCCCTGCAGCTAGAGGTAACTTGACACCTCTTTCCACCGTGGGCCCCCGGGGGTTTAACCGCCCCCCCCCCCCGTTTTTATACCCCACCCTCCACTATCCGAAGGAGTCTCAGAGCAACTTACAATCACCTTCCTTTCCTCTCCCCACAACAGACACCCTGTGAGGCAGGTGGGGCTGAGAAAGCTGTGACTGACCCAAGGTCACCCAACTGGCTTCATGTGGAGGAAGAGTGGGGAATCAAACCCGGTTCCTCCAGATTAGAGTCCACCGCTCTTAACCACTACACCACACTGGCTCTGTAGATGTACTTCTGTTATCTACCAGCTGCTCACAGTAACTTGGCTTTAGCCTCTCTGGAGATCAGCTGGCATTTCCTGACAACCCTAACAGGAATTCCTTTTTTAATGAAGACATCGTACTGCGTTTCATTGGCAACACTTTGCTTGTACAAGTAGATTTCCTTTGGCATCCAGTCTGGGGTCTCTGCCAGTAAGTGCTTCACTGGGTAAATAGTTTTAGGAGGGACTACATGACCCTTGGATAGAAAGCCTGTGTTTTCCGGCGTAGCGGCTTGCTAAAGCCAGTCAAAGCTCTGAGCTTGTGGTTGCGGCTTCTCACTTCAGCAGCTCCAGTTGTGTGTGTGTGGGGGGGGGGAGTCCTGCTAGTGCCAAACAGGGTTTCTCCTCAACGTGGAACTATGAAGATGTTGCCGCTTCACAGGGCTTCTCTTAAGCTGTTTACACACTCCACAGCTGCCTGTTTGCACTCACGGATCGTGACCGAGAGCTACTTCGGCTCTATGCAAATACTTCCTGTGAAACAGCCACTCATTTTGCTTTATTTGTTTCATTAATATTGTGTGTGTTCGGTGCCATCACGCCGCTTCCGATTTAGGGTGACCTTATACATTAAAAGAAAAGAGCAAGAGTCCAGTAGCCCTTTAAAGACTAGCAAAATATGTGGTTAGTCTTTTCTACTGCTACACAGTAGCTACCCATCCTTTGAATTAATGTCCTCCAGAATGTCCGGTCATAGCGCTTCATTTTGCTCCGGAGCAAAAAGCCACGTTTC